ACAAAAAAATTAACTGTTTAAAGGCATTAGCAAGCTGTTGATGCAATAATGTTTTATAGCTAACTTCTATAGAATGGTTAACTAGAGAGGTGATTAGAGAAACTGCACTCATTTTTTCCTCCTAAGAGTTTTACAGATTCTTATTAAACAGATGAGAAATCAGACTTTGACTAGGCAGGAAGCTCTTTCTTGAGGACAGAGAAACAGCTCATATTGGCTTGGAGATTTCAGTCTTGTTGCTAATCCCTAGATCATTTTCCAAATTCTAAACCCACGTGGGGCTTGAAGTTAAGTGAAGTCCTCAAATCTCTGAATAGTGGATTTCCCAAAGCCATAAATTCTAATGAGACAAAGAGCAGAATACAGAATCTTCCAGGAATAAGGCTCTGTGAATATTGAGCTCTCAGTTTGGGAGGCATCACTCAAAGTACACGGTGAATCACAGTAGATCAGATGGATGAAAACTTCCATATATATTCCATAGTATTTGTAAAGCAAATAGGATAGCAATAGAAGTCAACTGATAGAAAATCTGAAGTAGGAGAAAAAAGGAACAGTTGGTTAAATGAGCTCCTAGAGCAGGAGAGAAAAGATGTGAACTAGTACTCAAATGGTAGAGAAAAAAAAAAAAGAAGCATGTAGTGAAAATGAAATAAGGTTCCTACGCTACTCTAGCAGAGTATTTTGGCACACATGCAGGAAGGCTGGTGGATAAATGGTTGGGGAGGAGACTTTGTGTATCTAAGAAAAAAAGAGAAGAGAAAAAAATTATGTGATTTTATCCTGAAATGTAAAGCTGTGATATTGTTAAGTGAATAGGGCAAAGGAAGAGAGCCCCAACAACTTCTGAGAGAGTGGTTATTTCATATGCAAAATGGTGATAATTATGGTGGCCACTGATCCAAGCTAGATAAGGATAAAAGGAAAGACATGAAGGGTTTGAGGGATGGGAAGAAAACAGTTGGTAATATCAACAGAAATAGGTGTCAATAGGTTGAATAATTACTGGAGTCAGAATTCTAGAGTAAGAAAGTTAGAAAAATATAGCTGGTAGTCAGAAAGTATGATGATTCTATGGATATCTTATATGCTAAAAATTGGAAAACCTTGGATAAATGGATAGATTATGGAATATACAACTTACCAAGGTTTTAAAAAAAAAATAGAAAATCTGGACCGGCGCCGTGGCTCAATAGGATAATCCTCTGCCTGCAGCACCAGCACACTGGGTTCTAGTCCAGTCGGGGCACCGGATTCTGTCCCGGTTGCCCCTCTTCCAGGCCAGCTCTCTGCTATGGCCCAGGAGTGCAGTGGAGGATGGCCCAAGTCCTTGGGCCCTGCACCTCATGGGAGACCAGGAGAAGCACCTGACTCCTGGCTTCGGATCAGCGCGATGCGCGGCCACAGCACACCAGCCGCGGCAGCCATTGGAGGGTGAACCAACGGCAAAGGAAGACCTTTCTCTCTGTCTCTCTCTCTCTCTCTCACTTTCCACTCTGCCTGTCAAAAAAAAAAAAAAAAGTATATATATATATATAAAATCCAAGCAGACCAATAACAATTTTGAAGCAGTAATTAAAAGTCTCCCATCACAGAAAAGTCCAGGAACTGATTTTTTTTTTTTAAGATTTATTTATTTATTTGAAAGTCAGAGTTACACAGAGAGAAGAGAGGCAGAGAAAGAAAGAGAAAGAGGTCTTCCATCCGATGGTTCACTCCTCAAGTGGTTGCAATGGTCAGAGCTGTGCTGATTCGAAGCCAGGAGCCAGGAGCTTCTTCTGGGTCTCCCACATGGGTGCAGGGGCCTTAGGACTTGGGCCATCTCCTACTGTTTCCCAGGCCAGAGCAGAGAGCTGGATCAAAAGTGAAGCAGCTGGGCCTCAAACTGGCACCCATATGGGATGTTGGCGCTTCAGGCCAGGGCGTTAACCCACTGTGCCATAGCGCTGGCCCCAGGAACTGATGTTTTTACAACTGAATTCTATAAAAGATTTATCCAAGATCTAGCTCCAAAATTTGTCAAGCCATTCAAAAAGTTGAAAAGGACAGAATTCTGACAAATCCTTTTTATGAGGTCAGCATTACTCTGACACCAAAACCAAACTTACAATACACACATGAAAAAATTATAGACCAGTATTATTAATGAACATGGATGCAAAAATTCTTAACAAAATATTAGTAAATGATATCCCATAGCACATCAAAAGATCATACACCATGATAAAGTGGGGTTAATTCCAGGGATGGAAGGATGGTTGAACACTTGCAAATCCATTAATGTAATAAATCACATCAACATAATGAAGACCTAAAGCCACATGATTATCCCAAGAGATGCAGAAAAAGCATTTAAGATTCAATGTCCATTCATAAGAAAAATACTCAACAAGTTTGGGATAAAATGAACATACCTCAAAATAATAGAGGCTACATATGACTACCCCCACAGCCAATATCATATAAAATGGAGGAAACCTAAATGCATTTCCTCTAAGATCTAGAACAAGAAAAAATATTCATTCTCACTACTCTTATTCAACATAGAACTGGAAGTCTTAGCTAGGGCAATCAGGGAAGATAAAGAAATAAAGGGCATCCAAATGGAAACGAAAAAGTCCAAATATCCACATAAACAGATAATATATTTACTGAAATATTTATTTACTTATTTCAAAGTCACAGCTACAGAGAGAGAGAGAGACAAAAACAGAGATTTTCCATCCTCTGGTTCACTCTCAAGGTGGTCACAATGGCCAGGGACGAACCAGGCTGAAGCCACAAGCTTGGAGCTTCTTCTGGTTCTCCCACTTGGCTGGTAGGGGCCCAAGCACATGAGCCATCTTCTGCTGTTTTTCCCAGGCCATCAGTAGGGAGCTAGATCAGAAGTGGAGTAGCCAGGACACAAACTGGCACCCATATGGGATGCCAGCGATGCAAGTGGAGGATTAGCCTACTTTGCCAGAGCGCCAGTGCCTGGAAATTTCTTAAAAAACAAAAAAACAAAACTAGAAATGGAACTGCCTTTTGATCCAACAATCCTACTAAAGGATATATATTCAAAAGAAATGAAATCATTTACCAAAGAGAAACCTGCTCCATCACGTTTAGTGTAGCCAAAAACAGCCATTGTAGTTCATAATAGCCTAGATACAGAATCAACTAAGGTGTCCATCAATGTGGTGGAATGAGAAGGCCATGTCAAGATGGCCACTGGCAAGCCAGTGTCTGTTACTCAGGAGTGGCTTCAGAAACCCCCTGGGAACCCCCCTGGGAAACCACCTAGCAACAGAGACTACCTGGCAACAGGATGTAATTGGATACTGCCTGGCAACAGGCTGTGACTGGTTAGGGCATAAACCGCCCCTTGACCGGATTGGCTGCCTTGGCTATTTAAGCTGTTGTACCAACTGAAATAAAGGAATCTGCGGGCTGCTCGCCTCTGGCCAGGGTCTGTGTGGTGACTCGGCGGTGACTCTGCATCTCTTGCCCCCACCACGCTCCTCCTCTCAGAACGAATCCACCACAACACATCAACATACGAATGAAGAAAAAGTAATACGACTCTGCCATAACAGAATTATTTTCTATCATTTGTGACAAAATATAAGGAATTAAAACATATTAAGTGAAATGAAATAAGCCAGACACAGAAAGAAAAATACCAGATAGGTGAAAACAAACAAACAAAAAAACCAAAAACTCAATCTGAACAAAGAATAGTAATTACTAGAGGCTGGGAGGAGGAGTCCAGAGATGTTTAATCATGAGTACCAACTCAGAGTTAGATAGAGGAGTAAGTCCCACAGCATGCTGGGGTAACTATACTTCATAGTCTATTATAATTTCTGAGCAAGTAACACAGGAACTCCAAGGCTCCAATCATAGTGTAATGCCAATGAGGGGAAAACATTAATTACCATGATCTGATCAGTACATATTGTATACATACTGAAATGTTGTACTGTACCCCATATATAATATATTATTAATAATCAAAACAATTTTAATGTTTTAAAAAGGGAATAAATAGAAAAACAAAATAAGATTCTAAAGCACTAACACATACCCCAATCTAATTTGCCCTAAAAAAAAGTGGGATGCTTGAAATTGAGAATAATAACCAAGAATAGGCTATGACCATGGAGGAAATGGCAGAAGTGGTCAGTACACTATGGTTAGAAGAAAGAAACTCTTAAGAAATGAGTGGCTGTGGTATTGAAAGGATCATCTACATAGATATTTAAATCAGCAAGAATTATAATAAAAGTAGGTCAAATAATGAGGCAGTGAATAGATCTTAAAATCTTTAAGAAATTAGGGAAGTGATACAGCAGTGTGCACATGTGTACTAGATGGTACAGGCTGATGCATGGGCTTCAAAACAGTGGGTTTTTAGGGAGGAAAAAGGAACACTAACCTAAAAACACTATTAAGGAATAAGCCAGTAAGCCTCCAACGCCAGTGCTGTAACTACGTGGAAGAGAATACAGCCACTGCTTGAGCAGACACAGTGGACGCAGTAGCTTGGGGAGGTAATCACGTTTCAGTTAGAGTAGGAAGGTGTAAGGAATGTCCAGAAAAGAATGAGCTAATCATCTGACTCATTTACCAACATTATCTAAAAGGCACTGAATTAGGAATCAGGAATAAAACAGTAATAAAGACAATCTCAGCTTTCACAGAGCTGCAACATGGGTAGGAAAAAGTGTCATGTAAAAGTGATTACCTTAAAGAAATCACTAAATTTCTCTGATAAGTTAACATGTATCAAAAAAGTTTTATTTTGTGAAAACTGAATATGCATTTGATTTTCTACGAAATCAGTGTCAATTTTGAACTGTGGCATAACAAAGTATATAATTATTGCAATATATCTAAACATGTTGGTGTTCATTATATGCTATAAATGAAAGCAAATGAAAAATATCTGGGCAAGTCACTCTTTAACAGTTAAACAAAGGGGAGGCATATGCTTTCACAGATACATGCAGAGTTACCTGAGACAAGGCAGCATCCCGTTCTTCTATCAGTGCATTCATTTCTTCTGCAGTTATTCTCTTTTTACATTCCTTGGTCTTGTAGATTCTATCCACAATTACAGCTCCATTCTTCTGAATAGCTATCCCTGTGTCTGCATTGTTTATTCTGTTCAGTAATTCCTGTAATGTCTACCAACACCATTATATGTTAGTCAGACATGAAGTTTTAATATATTTTATTTAATATAGGGTTTTAATTAATAGGCACATGTGAATTGTAAATTGACTGAGTGAAGTTATTGAATTTTCATATTGCAGCAAAGATGTACATTATTAGTGTGTCAATTCTTCTTTTTCCCACATCTTAGTTCTTGAAACCCACTCAATTGAACTTAAGCCTCTAAGATATAAGACTGACATCAAGAAATCTCCTCAGAGAATGGCTTACCATGTCATTTTCTTCAGGGTTAATATTTTCTAGCCTAGAAAAAAGGGACACAGAAAGCCTGATCAGTAGCATTTCCTTAGTGCAGCAAAATGAGTTCGCTTTTTAAATCTTTAGAACCTCAAGTAATTTTATTCGACTAGTCTTTAGAGTCAACCATGACACTGAACATATTAAAGTGCCACCTGCCCGACTCCATCTTTCAATAATGCTCCATATCTTCTGCACTGACTTCAGACTGTTAAGTTATTAATGTTTACTGCTATATATGACTACAAGGATCAATTGTTCATATGTGCTTAGATGAAGAAAGTTCCCCAGTGATAGAAGCACTCGTTCTCATCACTATATTTATTCTTGGACCTTCAATTCTTACCCGAAACTGTATTTCCTTTTTTTTTTTTTTTTTTTTGGAAATAAGTCAAGTAGTTTTATTACAAAGTTTAACTATGTTACCTCAAAAGCAATGACAAATAATTACACTAACTGACCTGAAAAAATCTCTTGCTACTACCTATTTATTAAAACAAATATACTATCTAGAAAGGTTGACCAAAATTGGCTCATGTTTTTTAGATGACCTTTCTCTCTCTCTCTCTCTTTTTTTTTTTTTTTTTTTTGGTAATGTATTCAATTGAAAGACACAGAAAGTTAATTGATTGCTCTCATGAATGCATTCTTTTTTTAATCATCATGGTGATTACTGAAATGTTTGTTGATGATGAACTGAAGAAAGATAAATAAGGAAGTTCTAAACAACATATTGTAGAAAATGTATATTAGGCAAACATTAACCTGAATAAACTAAAAGAAAATCTGTTTTGAGTACTAATGAAATGATACAGATTCTAGAAATAATTCCAGCTTTTAAAAGTTGCACTAAAATTTAGATATCCAACTTCCTGCTTTTTTTCTCATTTCTGTGCTTCAATGATTTAACATTTACTATAAAAGATGATACCAGGAAAAAATAATGGAAGACAGTCAAAAAATATACTACAAAAATCATTACAAACTTCCCCACTGAATGAAATTGCTACATCATACATATGCTAGTAATTTTAGAACATAATATTTTAACATAAAATATAAATATACATTAAAAACTTATTATACATGTACTTAGATAGTATAAGTTAATGGAAAGGGATAGTAATTTTGAATTACATATAACTTATGTATCTTAAACTACTAATATCCACTTGGATCCACATTTCGAGAATGGTAAGTACTCATCATTTCTTTTCTCCAAAATAAATCAACAATTTAAAAGACGCTACTTATTCAACAAGAATTATACTATAAGCTTATTCTACAAGAATTGTGAAAACAACCACTTATTGTTTATTCAGTTGAAAAATGCAGCAAAAACGATATAAAATTCTTACATTCATTCATGGTCATAGTGAAATTATCTGAAGAACACTAGTGGTTTCTGACCATCAGTTATTGATTAGCTAACTACGGCTTATAAGGAAGTCAGACATTGTGAGAAACATTTATCTTAATGCCAGTCTTTTAGATGAAATCAAAATAAGAGCTGAATATGGCAATTCCCAATAAAATCCAATGTAGGTGTTCATAAATTTCACAATGACTTTATTATACCTTAGAATTTAAAATGTGAACAAATACATGATAATGAAACATTTAGATTGGTAGGTTCCTAGGAATCTTTGCAGATAAAAAATTTAGTTACAAAGGCTATAAATCTCCATTTTTAGATTCATGGAATTATAAATGACCAGGAAGAAAATAATAAGGTAGTATGTGACCTATTTTGTAATTAACAGAACAAAGTACATAGAATTTTTATGTAGTTCTCATAAGTTGCTTTCAGGAATGGCAATATCAAATAATTATAATGTTAAGGAGTAGATGAATGGTTCCAATGTTTTAAATTAACACCTTTCAATAAGAAAGGGTTAATATAATCATCTACATTGTAATATTAAGATGACTGTAAAAAATTAAAATTTCTTTTAAAAATTAAAATCATATTTTCTTAACAAGAGCTATACAGTTTCTCTGGCAAACGAACTTAGCATTCAGACTTTATTTATTATTATTATTATTTTTTTGACAGGCAGAGCAGACAGTGAGAGAGAGAGAGACAGAGAGAAAGGTCTTCCTTTTGCCATTGGTTCACCCTCCAATGGCCACCGTGGCCAGCATGCTGCATCGAGTCGATCCAAAGGCAGGAACCAGGTGCTTCTCCTGGTTTCCCATGTGGGTGCAGGGCCCAAGGACCTGGGCCATCCTCCACTGCACTCCCGGGCCACAGCAGAGAGCTGGACTGGAAGAGGAGCAACTGGGACAGAATCCAGCACCTCAACCGGGACTAGAACCCGGTGTGCCAGCGCCGCAGGCGGAGGATTAGCCTATTGAGCCGCACACCGGCCAGCATTCAGACTTTAAATAATTTGAGTACCTATCCTTAAATGTATACACTATATAGAGGTTTGTCATTTTTCTGATACTTGCATTTGAACTATATTTTGATTAAATCACTGTGCTGGGTCTGACACACAGTGAGGAATGAGCTAACTCAACCATGTAACATTTTGATCTCAATGTTACTTAATTATTAATCTTTATAATTGATGTAAGTATAGGGATAAATGGCTATCTAGAGAAAAATATACTGTTAATAAAAATGAAAAAACTGGTAAATTTGAGATTTGAAAATTTTTATAGACATTCACAACTTTGAATTCAAACATGAATCTGAAAAAAATTGATACTTAAATTTCTGTGTTTGTATTTACTTAAGTCACAGGAAGTATCTGTCACAAAGCCTGATTACATATTAACTTAGTCTCAGCTACACTACAGAGAACATCTATCAGCACACTTTTTTAAAGGTCCAGATAGTATATATTTTAAGCTTTGCCATATGTCCTCTGTTATAGCTTCTAAATTCTGCCTGTGTAGTGCAAAAGTATTCATAGACCCATTGTAAATGAACAGGTATGGTTGTGTTCCAATAGAACTTTATTTCCAAAAAGAGGGGCAGGCTGGATTTGCACTGTAGCCTTTTACTTTGCAGATATAGTGTACTGGAAAATGAGACCAGATCTTGGATATCAATTGGCACTGATAGTACCAATTCGATATATCTGACATAATTTTCTGAGTGGGATCATTCAATAGCTAAGCTAAAAAAAAAAGTGATTTTCAGAAAATTAAATTCAGACCTACAATCAATACTTCATTACTGTATTATTTAAGACAACACAAAAATTAGACAACATATCTTTTTTTAAAAAAAAAAAAGCTGTATGAAACAGCTATACAAGACTATCAATTCCCATATAAAATGAATTTAGGAAAGGAACTAAGGTTTACTAATAGCATTGACAATATATAATACATTACTAGTATAAGTAAAGAGTTACTGGCTGATGTTATATGAAATACATATGAAGAACTATAAGGTATATTTCATTACTATGAAGTATACAACTAAACAAAAGAATCAAAACCTTTCGTAAACTCTAAATTATGCCTACAGCAGTGTAACTTGACATAGTCATGATAATTAGTAAGAATTTTGCTGAAGTAAATGTCTATGGGCTCAAGTTTCAATTGATTTCCTATACCATGCAAATTCTGACTGACAACCTTGCACTCTAAGAGAAAAGGCCCATGCATGAAATGTCACATTTCTTGATTTATCCCTAAATTAGTCAATACAACCTTTGTGCTTTCTGAAACTCACCTTGTTCAATGGTAAGAAGCAAAATATTGACCTCAACTGATAAAAAAAAAGAACTAGTAGCAAGCTAATCAGAAAAATTACAATTTATTTTCATTCTCTAACTCATTTTAATTCAATGCCACACTTATTAGATTAAAAATATCAATAAAAAAAATTGAAATGATACTATCTCAAAAGTTGGAATACACATAAGCAAATAAGAGTCAAGAAAAAATGCCTTAAAGATTCAAGAGGTAAGACAAGGCAGAGAAGCAGCAGAGAAAGATAAGACAACTATTATAAATAGAGTGGCACAAATTCTATCAGAGGCAAAGGAGATGAGAAAAAAAGAAATAAGGAATTTGAAGTGTATAGAAAGAAAGAAATTAAATGACATGTAAAATAATGTACATAATTTTATTGTATACTAAATGCCTCCAAATATACCGTTCAGTTGAGTAAAAATTTGTCTCATTGAGGATTTAGTCTATAATGCACTTTTTTTTAACTTTTATTTCATGAATATAAATTTCCAAAGTACAGCTTATGGATTACAATGGCTTCCCCCCCCATAACATCCCTCCCACCTGCAACCCTCCCCTTTCCCACTCCCTCTCCCCTTCCATTCACATCAAGATTCAT